GGAGAACCAGTTGTTGGAAGAAATCTCCTTTTGTTTTTTCCCACTTTACAGGGCTAATCCTGTAAGGAAGGCAGGAAGGAAACATTCTAGGGTTGTTTCTGGCCTAATTTTTATTGACCTACTTACAGAAACTGCCTCTCCAGTTAACCCTTATTGCCATTGTAACAGCTAAGGCGAAGCGCCCATCGACCTGAGTAACCTTGAGTTGGCCACACCCATCCAGTCACATGACCACCGAGCCCCACCTATCCAGATGGTCATTAGGGCAGAGAACCGGTTGTTAAATTATTTGAATCCCACCACTGGGCTGGGGGGGTTCTTACTATTGGTGATTATATTACTTAACATTATTGTGGGTGTTTTGTGTTATATATTTTGTTATTAGCTGCTGATAATTTGGTAGGATTATGGTGGATTACAAATCAAATAAACCAGCACATCCAGTGATGGGGATTCACCCAGGGTCAGGTTGCCTGACGTGGGAGCAGTGGTGGGATTCAGCCAATTCGCACTTATTCGGGAGAACCAGTGGTTAACTTTCTAAGCAGGTCGGAGAACCAGTTGTTGGAAGAAATCTCCTTTTGTTTTATCCCACTTTACAGGGCTAATCCTGTAAGGAAGGCAGGAAGGAAACATTCTGGTGTTGTTTCTAGCCTAATCTCAATTTCCCTGTTTACCGAAACTGCCTCTCTGGTTAACCCTAATTACATTGTAACAGCTTAGGCGAAGCAGCGCCCATCGACCTGAGTGACCGTGAGTTGGCCATGCCCACACAGTCACATGACCACCGAACCACGCCTACCCAGCTGGTCATTAGGGCAGAGAACCGGTTGTTAAATCATTTGAATCCCACCACTGCGTAGGAGGCATGGCCCATTCCTATCCTCTAGCTCCCCCGCACATGCGCAACGATCCTCCCGCAATGGCTAACCTGACCCTGGGCGAGAGGGTTGTTAAATTAACACCACCACCCACTATCAAAGTGGATCCTGGGGGCTGCACTGCACTGCAAGAAACAGACAATGGAGCAGGCAGCACAAGGGGGAGAGTAGGAGCAGGGAGAAGAAAGAGGGAAAGCAGCCTTCTCCTTCCCTCATCCCGGCTGCTCCATTGCCCATTTCTCCACTGCAGCGCAGTGCAAGAGCCGAGGTGGTGCAGTGGTTAAATGCAGCACTGCAGGCTATTTCAGCTGACTGCAGTTCTGCAGTTTGGCTGTTCAAATCTCACCGGCTCAGGGTTGACTCAGCCTTCCATCCTTCCGAGGTGGGTAAAATGAGGACCCGGATTGTTGTTGGGGGCGATATGCTGACTCTGTAAACCGCTTAGAGAGGGCTGAAAGCCCTATGAAGCGGTATATAAGTCTAACTGCTATTGCTATTGCTATCCACTTTGATAGTTTGGGGGCGGGGGGTAATTTAACAACTGGTTGCCTGAACCAGTGCAAACCAGCTGAATCCCACCACCGATCACATCCCTTCCACTCTGAAAATGAATTTTTGAACGAATCGTTTCTTTCACAGTCACTGGCAAAGTGTATGAATACAACTCAAAATCCGGGGCACGGAGATGGAAAACCCCCAATGCGCTTTCCATGACGGAAGTGAAAGAGTCCGTCACACAAGTAATAACTCCTCCAAAGAGTGGCAATGGCAGTCTGTTTAAAGCAGAGTCTACCGCTAGTGGCGGTGAAGGGAATCTCAAACCGAAGCCGAGATCTCCAAACAGTGGCGGAAAGGATCTACCCAAAGCAGAGGCTACCACTACTAGCGGCGGTGAAGGGAATCTCAAACAGAAGCCGAGATCTCCAAGAAGTAGAGAAAACGAGCTACCCAAAGCAGAGGTTGAGTCTGGTGGTAATCAAGGAGATCTTAAGCAGATGAATCCTCCAAAGAATGACCAGACAGGTGACCTATTTCAAAGAGAAGATGAAACCAGGAGACCAAATCACCTCGAACCAACAGCCGTAGAGAAAAGGACGGAAAGTCCTTTAAAATTGCAGAAAGCGAACGGGGAACCTGCCAGCAACCGATCACCTTCACCCGCTTCCCCACGCAGGTCCCCCCTCCCCTCTCCCAAAATATATCCCAAATATCAAAATCAGTCTTAAAAACCAGGTGTCCGTAACCCAGAAGACATAACACCTGTTCTGGATGCCTCTGAATGACCAAATCAGGAAGCCAACTCTTACAGGAAGATTACTGTCTTTTTCGGACTATAAGATGCACTTTTTGTCTCTCAAAAGGGAGTGAAAGTGTCTGTGCGTCTTATGGACCGAATATGATCAAAGCCCCGCCCACCCGCCAGCCATTTTATGGCCTCTACATGCCCTGTTTTCGGGCCTATTTTCAGCCTTTTTCAGCCCGTTTTCAGGGATTTTTTTTTGACCCATTTTTGAGGCTTTTTTCTTGCCCAATTTTTTTGAAAAATACAGGCTGAAAAAAAGCCTAGAAAATGGGCCTGAAAATGCCTCGAAATGGGCCAAGAAAAGCTTTGAAAATGGGCCAAGAAAAGCCTCCAAAACGGGCTGAAAAAACTTCAAAAATAGGCCAAAAACAAAGCCTCAAAAATGGCCCCAAAAGCCTCAAAAATAGGCTGAAAAATGGGCTAAAAAGTCCTCAAAAATGAGCCTGAAAATGCATCCATATTGGCCAACAAAAGCTTTGAAAATGGGACAAAAAAAACCTCCAAAATGGGACAAAAAAGCTTCAAAAACAGGGCAAAACCCTTTTGGATTATATATAAAGGTTAATAATAATAATAATAATAATAATAATAATAATAATAATAATAATAATAATAATAATAATAATTAAGTTAAATTCAGTTAAGTCTTGATTATTAGGGGGAAAAT